GAGAGCTATGAGACAGAGTCGAGTGGGATTATTTATTTAATTTAGGACTGGCCAGATGGTGCTTTCTGGTCCTGTTCATTCCAAAGCAACTCTGGGCTGGATCAGATTAAATATAAAAATGTAGTTGCTGAATCAGTTGCTGAACATTGCTAATTAGGGTAAGTTTGTACCAAGCAGTGAATATTTTGGAGTCCAATTCCTGAGCTAGGCGAACCGCAGTACTCCAGGGCACTGCTGATGGCAGATTCAGCCAACTTGGTTCATCGGTAGGAATTGGGAGGAGCAGACTGGACACTGGAGGCAGGGATTTTTCCCTCAGCTCCTGGGTAAAGGCAGTGGGAAGCTTGCCAGGTGGTGCTTTCAATGGCTTTCAAAATTTATTAAAAATTTTGCTGGTTAAACTGCTGGAGTCCCCAACACACACTGTGGGATCCCCAAGCCTTTTTTTGTTGGAAAACTGCGCCTAATACTCTCTGGAATTAGATAATCAGGTTGAGTCCCTCTGGGGAAAAATGCCCGTTCCATTCAAGACATGGAAATTTCCAAGTGCAACTGGAACTCTGTTTGGATACTTGGAAGCCTGGTGATGGGTTTCTGCATGTGCCACATCCGGCTGATCAAAGTAAAAATAGAGCACTACATAATGACTTACGTTACAGACTAGGGTGAAATCATTCAATGGATTGATTCAAATTTCCCAAAGGATGTTGACATCAAAACTTTAACTGGCATTGAGAGTGGAAGCTTCATCCACTTGTAAATTATTGATTGAAATCAGTTGGTAATAGAGAAAGTTGATGATAAAAACTATCTTTATATTTTTAATTGATAAATGAAATTGTGGTCTAGATATGATCCACATTTATGTCTCAATACTGTATAATGTTCCTTGCCCTTCCCTATCTCCAACAAACACATTTAGAAAAGGTTTCAGGATGATAACCAATGCTAACAGCAAAACACAGCCAATGATTGTTATCATCCATTCCGCAGAACTGGTCTAATTTCAAATTTTAGAATTGGAAAAAAAACATAAACCAGACTTATCATCTGAAGTCTTTAGCAGCTGCAGATCAATGAACACACCCACAACATCAAAATGAACCATTAGCCCACTCACACTAATAAACATGGCCAAGCAGCTGTTCAGCATTCATGTCAGTTCAACACCTGATTAAACTGTCAAAGCTGGAATCTTAGAAAATTAGCCAAATTTGAAACTGAACCAATAACATGTACTCTATAATCATATAACAAGTTAGGGTACCTGGTTTATTTGCAATCCCGTATCATTACATGTATAAAAAATGAGTTTACCTCCACTTTAATTATGAGTGGATCAAGTGATTCTCATGTTGATCAAGGAATCTGGCAAAGTATGATTTATAACGTACAGTATTCAATGCATTACTATCTCTGTGAGTTCTGTTAGGCTTAATGAAATGTATGAAGATTTTAAAAAATAGAGCTGTGCAAACTTAATGTACCATGTAAAATGGGTTTAAGGAGGGATTACCTGTGGAACTGCAGAGCTGACTCTCAGTGTGTGATGTTTCATGTGCCATTACCACAGAAGGAATACTATGTATACCTCAGAGAGCTATCTTGAAAGAGCCTCCAGAGTCTAAGGATGTGCTGCGAAGAACTGAATTCAGTACAAAATCTGAGCTTAAAGATCACAGATAAAGTAAGGTGTACAAGCAGCATCTCCATGCCTAGAAACATAAATACTCACTATAAGCATCTAAATATCGCAGTGAATTTCTATAGCACATGACTAAGAACTTTGCACTTCAATTCTATAATCTCTCAATCAAGATGAAGGACTGAATTTTATTTCAGCTAGTTTGGGTTAATATTTTGATTAGTTTTTATATAATTATAGCCTATTCCTTACCATGTAAAAAGTGGATTATTTTAAGGCAGGGTTATCCAATACATCAGCCACTAGCCAAATGTGACTAATTAAGAATCTGGATGTGGCTAAATTGTATTTTTGATTAATAAATAAAAAATGGGAAATAGACACATACAGTCATTGGCCACATGATCTTAATACTCATATTCGCAAAATATAAAAAAATTGTGTATTTTGACCTTTTTTTGTTTGTTGGTAAAATGGTGAGATGAAAAAAAGTGAGTATTTTTGGATTGTTAAGTGTGCTTTACTTCCATGGTTACTGCTTATTGGTTATCTGCTAAAATTATGTGTAGCACAGCTGGATCCGGCGCATCCAGCGAAAGAAAAATAAAGAAGACCCGTCCCTGCTCTCCATCCAGAATGTGGTTGGATGCTGCTTCCCCTTTGCCATGACGTGCCCTGTTGGAGCTGCTTATTATTAGCTGAGCTTGCTTTCTTTTACAGGCCTGGAGCAGTTATTCCAATGGAATAACTCCCCTCTCCATACAATTTTGCTGCTGAAATCTGGCATTTTCACCCTAGGTACACGTGAAAAGAAAAACATCAATTTGATGAAAGAGAAGGCTGCAAAGTTTTGAACTGAATGGTGGTAGATATTTGTTAAAGCAGATGCTTCTTAGGTAAATATACCTGTGAAGTACATTTACCTGTATTGTGTGAGTATATGTAAAGTGTTTTCTCCTAAAATTTGTGCATGTGGTTAAATAGGTGTCGCAGTAGCCATACCTGTGGCTAGTCAACGATTTCCATTGGACAACACTGCTTTAAGGTAGCAGAATTTATACAACATAGTCTGCAGCCATGCGTCTTGTGGGTGAGTTTATGTTTCATATTAAAATCTTTTTTGAACTTATTTTACTGATAACTACCCATTTTTGATGAATGTCAATCAGTAAAAAACTATTTTCTCCTGAATTTAATTTAAAGAAAATGAATTAAGCAAGTTTTTTCAGGGTCTGTGATGGTGCATTTACATCAGCTTCTGACTGCATTGTGAATCCAGTTGTGCACATGCACCTACGTAGGTGTGTGCAATAGGTCTTCGGTGTCTATTTTAACCTTGCACGAAGGATCCAGTTAGAGCTAGAAAGAGGCAGAAACTCAGACACAAAAGAAACCTAGACAGAGAAAGGCTGGCACAATATGGTACAACAATCACAGACCTCCTGATGGAATTTTTTTAGATACACTGTAGCAAATTTGTATCCATCATGATTGGTATGCAGAGGTAAGCGGGTGGTACTCCAGCTCCTGCACCTCCAAATGGTGCAACTATCACTCAACAGCAAGGGATGTATACGCAAGCTGTGGGCAGGTTGACAGTGGCAATGCTATCACATATTTCATGCTGAGCTGCTCTGTATTGGGAAAGGCATTTATATAATTACTAAAGAAATCTTAATTACTAAAAATCTTAATGCCATTTACATATCAGTTCTTGTTACAGATAGTAAAAGAAATGGCAGCCAATAGATTTTTTCATTTATTTCAACATTTCTCTTTTATTTTAAGTGGAAGGAGTTATATAAGTAAGTGCAAGGGTTATTGTTATATTTCTATATGTAAACTGTCTGCTTGTTCAGGTGGACGTTAAAGATCCCATGGCACTATTCTGGCCAACAATCCTCCAAATGAAATTGGTCATTCACCCATGTTGGTTTATTTGCTTTGTGCAAGCTGGCTGTTGCTATCGCCTACAAAACACACAGTGCTTTGGGATGACTTCCTGACACGAAAAGTGCTTTGCCAAATGCAATAATTATTATTATTATTGTTGTCATGTTTGCCAACTTCCTGGTCCAGACCTAGCAGGTATCCTGCCAGATTTCATCAGTAAATGTAGTATTTCAATTGCCACAAGGTCACTGAAAATGATAAATAATAAATTGCTAAATATCTATTTTATAGGGGTGTGCATTTATAAATAAAAATGTTAAAAATGAAACATAATCAAACATTTTCTGATTTACACACTTAAAACAGATTGCTGACCACAATCATAAATTGCTCCAACAATTCATTTTATGTTCACGTATTTTTCATTCTGAATTAAAAATAAAATTCAAGTAAAGTGGTATAAGACAGCAGTATATTAATGTATTTCAGATAGAATTGCGATTGCTGAGAATTATAATCATAATTTTTTAATAAGGTTTTAATGCCCAGGTTTTACAATTCATCTAAAAAGAGACCGTGTGCTGTTCTTTTTTTGAAAAGCTACAACAGTAAACAGAAAATTAGACATTTGGAAGGCTATTAGTTTTGTTACATTTTTACTGCAATTAGTTCAATCACTCGACTGCTAGAACCACTATTATCTGTTTATTTGTGGACTGCAGCAATTTTGCAGATTACTTTCTCTGTCCATCGTTCAAATGCATTTTCTGTTCTTTAAAAAGTAGTCATCGCAAGCAAAAACTCTAATAGAGATATATTCCCACATCTGTCAGATGATATAGCTTATTGTATTGGTCTCTGTTTTACTATGTACGTTTTTAAGAAACCAAGAATAGAATCAAAACCAATTATGGCTACACAAAAATACGGCCTGAAAGGTCAGAATTGCACACAGGGAAATTATGTAATTAAAACACTAGTCATAATACAATTGAAAGGATTAAGCCAGTTCTTAAAACATCTCCTGAGGAGTACTGCAGAGAATACAGAATGTAAATTAGCATCACTGATTATTGTCATTACCATTCACCATTAGCCCCCCACCATTGCAAGGCCCAGCTCCAGATCCAGAGCAATGTGACCCATTCCTTTCAGATCACACTTTGCTTGTCCACTAAAGAGCCTCTATGGAGTAAGCTTAAGACAGCTCCAAGTTGGGGCTGTCTTAACCGATGAGAGAAGGATTTAAAGGACATCTTTAAATGTTAGATGACAGCTTCATTAGAGCCCATGAATCACCTCACAGGTAATTCCACCTTGAACAGGTAAGCAATACTGTGAGTAATAGTGCTTCCAGTTTAAGCTAGTTTATATGGCTGAAGCTAGGTGATTAAATCCACCTGCTAACTCTTTGCATTTTGATTTGGGGTCCAAACAGACAAGAAAAGAACTAAGTACCTACCTCAATGACTGGCATCCACTGTTCTGCAGACACACTAAGAGCCTGAAACTGTTTATCATTCACACAGTGCATGTTGTTCACAACTAATACGGATGCGCCAAATATTTCACTTGTCCGACATAAACCTGGAAATAAACAATAAGTAATTATTGTCTTGTTATAAAATATCAATGACTGAAATTAATGAGCATCGTTAGCATGGGGGAAAATCTATCAATTATGAGAGTTACTGAACAGTTGCCCAAAAATAGAAAAAAAAGCATTGGTAGTTTCACTCAAAACAAATAGTATGTTTTAAGAAATTAAGTGTGAAACTTACATCAAGTTGTGTATATCAATTCTGGAGTATTTAAATTTCAAAGTGGTTTTGCAAATTTTCATAACCAATTGCATTCCTACTAAGTCTGAAATATTTCTATGACAAAGGTGGCATGAGATATTGAAGCACCAATATATGACAATGCCGAATGAAAAACATTTCAATCACCTACTCCATTGAGTTCCTGATCACATCCATGCTGCATAGTCCAAAGAAACTGAAAGGTAGTGGACTGGAAAGAAAGTTACGACCACTCTTACTCACCTTCTAGTGACCATCGCAAGGATATCAGTGACAGAGCCCTGGTAATAATAATAAAAAAGGTCTTGTCTTTTGCATTTCATTTCAGGCAGATGTCTCAAAGTGCTTTAGAGGATATATTGCAAAGTGAAGCAACTGTATTTTGCAGGCGACCATGACAGGTAATTTGCACACAGCAATGTCCCACCAATTTTTTTGTGTGCCTGACTGCATTAAGCATGCAGCCTGGGAAATAATCCTGAAAACAAATTCTTCTTTCTCAATGTTCAATAAAAAAAATTATGTTCCATAGAAACAGATAGTAGAGATAAAATGACACAATGCATGTTGCAGTAAATCAAAGCAAAAAATGCCGGAAGAGCAAAAGTCGATCGGCATCTGAAATAGAAAAAACAGATCAACGCTTCAGATATGATCCTTCATCAGATACCTAGTTCTGCTGAAAGTTCAGACCGAAAACTCTCACCTTTCTTTTCAGATACCGATTGAAAATATCAAAACAATTTGGGTTTTCATTTGAGATTTTTTGATACGGTAATTGTGTTTTAGAATTGCTAGTTTCACACAACTTTATTAATAAATAATTACTGATAAAGATGGAAGACAGCTGGTGGAGGACGTGGAGAATGCAAACTTGTACAATTCATGATGCTCTAGTGGTTGGCTTAGAGTTGAGGGAATTTCAGTATTAATCCAACTCATGCAGTAGAAACTTGGAAATGCTAAAACTACTTTTAGTGCCTAAAAAAAATGTTCCATTCACTAACTGGCAAATGCTAAGCACAAAAACTGTCAATTCTTTAACTCCAAATGGAATTATTGTCCCAGATGTGTTTCAACTGACCCTCTGGAATTCCCCTCAGAAACCAAATTCACAAAATCAAACCTGAGATCTGTATCCAAACTTACTTTGAGAAGTTCAGCTGCAGCACATCCAACATTTGTTATTTACAAATTCTTTTGCAAATCCCGCAAATTATTTTGACTGCATTTTCAGTCATCTTTCATCAACAACAATATTACATTTGTAAACCGCCTTTCACATCGGGAAGACGTCCCAAGGCGCTGAACATTAAAGATAAGATAGCATACTGTGTGTATCTGAAGACCCCCGCCCCCCCCCAGTTGAAGAAAAAGATCTATGAATACCGACTGTTGGAAATATAACCATTCATAAAGTAAATCTGGAAGCAATCTCCTTTAATTTTGATCCTTGTTGCTGGAACCCGCTCCAGTTTCATGAAAGAGGATTTGCTGGATAATTGTCTTGACAGTATCTGGTTGCAGTACTCAAATTAAGCTAATTATTAGGAATGTGCACGTTGGGTTATGAGTAGCAATACTTTATTAAAGGTGCCAAAAGAAATCTAAAGCGCAGAATTCTATACTGGCTTTTCTTGGCTTGGAAAGGGAACCTCAAACATTCAATTATCTTGGCTGATACAGAAAGGTCTGCCAGCCATCATCTCAAGCATATTATTTATTTATGACAACATGATCAAGAATATCATAACTGGGAGGTTCAGAATGAAGATTAGGAGGAACTTTTTTTTGACACAGGGAGTGGTGGGAGTCTGGCCACAGACAGTTGATGGGGTGGCAACCGTGTACACATTCAAAAAGAGACTGGACACATGGTTGAGGGAAAATAAAGTTGGGAGGATACGTGAAAGGACGAGAATATGAAACTGGGGATAAGAATCTAGGATGGGCATCTGTGTGGAGTAAAAGTCAACCGGCTGGACTAGATGGGTTGAATAGCCCGTTTCTGACCTGTACCATCTATGAATCTCAAAAATATGTCCTTAGAACTCTCTGACGACAAGACTTCTGTTCTTTTTTTTTTGAAGGAAAATATAACAGATAATTTGCATACAACAGTATCCCACAGTCATGAAGAGATTAACTAATTTTATCTGGGGAATTATTGGCCAGAGCAACAGGTGAAATTCCTTTCCCTTCTTAAATATTGCCATAGAATCTTTAATGCCCAACTGAACAGGCAGATGGGACTTAATTTTAATGTCTCATCAAAGGATGACATCTCCAACGATGGGGTACTCACCTCGCACTATATTAGAGTGTCAGACAAGACTGTGTATCCAAAGTCCTTTAGTTGCCATTTACTGCACCTTCCTATTGCTAGAATATCCTTATTATAAAATAGCAATCAGAATTGTAAGTAGTACTCTAAATAGGAGTCAGATCAGTGCCCTATATAAATTCAGTTTCATTTCTGTGGCTTGTGCTCTATCCCTTCAATTTTATATCCCAAGGTCTCTCTACTGCCACCTCTTATTGTTCTGATGGTTTCAGGATCCATGGTAAAAGCAAAGCTATCTTTTGTAGACTCATACCACTTAGTTTATACTCCAGTTTCACTAATTCAGCCAGTCACTGGTCTGTAATTCCTGGGTAATCTTTGTGCTCCTTAGAAAGAGTTACTTACAAAAAAGGGTTAATAGTCTGCTGTAAGTTTAAAGTGGGATATAAGAAAAACTGTTCTCTCGGTGTAGTGAAGCACTATGTTAACATGTAATTGGGAGAGGGAATTAAAACTAAATATTCTGAGCTTTTCTATGTATACTTATTCTCTCCTGCTTGACAAGAATGCTCACAGTGCCTAAGCAAGTGTTTGTGAACACCTTTGCAATACAATATCACTGCTCTGAGCATCTTCCCGAAACATCTCCCTGGGGAATTCTTCCTGGCAATATCAGAGATATTTTATGTAGAAACCCATATAATAACTTGAGGTATTTATACTTGCTACTGGTATCTCCTGCATAATTCCCATCAAGTAGGGTATTGAACTAAAAATACATCTCTACTTGGAAATGAAAATTCATTGGAAAGATTTCCATTATTAGGTTTGGGATCTTTATTTTTAAACATAAACAAGCAAGCACTTTTGCACACAATCCGAAAGCAATCCTGACTCAAATTAGTGAGGCAGGCAGTAGTTATATATTTTGCCATTATAAATTCAGAACCTGGAGTTCATAAATGTCACAAGCAATAAAAAGATGAAGGCCTTTTACCCTCATTTGAACTCATCCCTGCAATTGTTCAATTCTAACCTTTTTCCATTCCTTCAATGAGTCTAGTGTCTTGGCCTTAACCAGCAAGGGAGGAATTCCATGTTCATTCATTTAGAATAAACAGAACTCACTAAGAATGTGAATTTCACTTGTTCCAAATAGACTACATTTGATGTGTTTATAGTTGCCAATTAGAGCTGAATTGCCCAAGAATCTGCTTGGCTGCTTCAGCTCTCATTTGAGTATAAACAAGGTAAAAACTCACTTGCAATATTGGTCAACACTCTGTCTATATTCATTTAAATAATTTCCCTCAGCACCAAAATATTTTAACTGCAACCAATGTCATATTGACCTTTATTTAATAGGCTAACTTACGTCAGATTAATGCTGTTGTCACTGCAAGTGTTATGTACCGTATTTCATTGAACCCTAATGCTTGAAAAAAAAGTGGATATCATAGTTTCTCTCAAGTAGTCATAATGAACCTTGATGAATCATTTGCAAGTTATGTATTTAATAAAGCTGTGTGCTGGCAGGAAACAATACAAGCACCAGTTGTTTGTACAAGTCTTCAATTCAGCCACCAGTACTGACCAATGAAAAGAAACTGGCACCTACCCAGTTATGAACCAAAGATTGTAAGGTTAAACAATAAATAAGACTACAAAAACCAAAGGAATCTTAAGGAAATATACACTAAACTTTGTAAAAGCTTGAAGGTTGTGCAAAAAGACAATACTGAAACATAGATTAACCAAGGATAAAACTGAATTGTTATTCCTGAGTGCAGCAGTCAAAATAATTAGTACCAGTGAAGGGAGAAAAATAAGTGAAGTCTGATACAAGGAGACCTTATATATAGTGGGAGATGGAGCGGAGGAAATCATGGTTTATAATCTGTAATGCCAACCTCATCATCCCAGTGATTCATTATCCCTCATTATCACAGTGATTCTTCTCCCCTTCCCCTCAAATTTGGAAGACAATCTAGTCAATTGATGAGGTTGAATGAATGAAAACGAACATCATTTGTTTGTACTCTGGAGATTAGCCAAAATCTCAGTAAAAACACTTTTTTTAAAAATATCTACAGGTCAACAGGGAGGAAGAGAAAACATTTAAAACCAGACACATCACAACAGTAAGATTACTAATCACTCTTTTCACATTGATGTCTCAAAACATTCAACACTGCTGGCTGGGCAACTGAGCTGTGGGTGAGAGCCAAAAGGTGGGGAGGGAAAAAGATCACTGAAAGCACAGTCAAAGGGGTACCCAAGTCCAGATAAAAGGCAAAATCAGCAGACAGAGCATTCTGATGTGGTTTTACCTAGAAATCACATTTGGTAATTGTTTCATGATACCAATGAAAGCACACTGAGATGTAGTTAAGCTAAAGCGTGATGAAGGATAGGCTATTAATATTCAATCTGAGCAGGATCTATCAGTACAAATGGTGCCTCTTGAACAATTAAGAAATGGACTAACAAAGATTCAAGTGCAGAATCCACCAATTACCAGTATAAACATTATGTTGCTATCTTAAAAAATGTGGCTTTGCTGTCTCCTTACCTCCCAGATTAGTTGGTTTATCAATAAGTGAAGCCACTACAATCAGGCTACTACTGCTATTGGAGGATTTTCCAAGTTTTGTGGCTCTTTCCTGGTAGATCAGTTCCAGATCTTGGTCTGGTATGCTGTTCTTCCATGGTATTATCTTCTTTTGTACATCTGTCCACTCAGCATCTAGATCTGCTTCAGACAGACTATAACCTGTAAACCACAATGAAGTCAGATATATGCAGACAAATACAGTCCACCACAAGATTAGATGTCCAAAACTAGGCAAAGAGCTTACCTGTTTATTTGTTCTCAGGATCAGTTATTAAGTGCAGAAAATCTAGTATATATTTATTTTTGATTTAACGCTACATAAACATTTTTTTCTTGAACCAATTGCTGGCAGTTGATGGCAACAAATAATTGAAGAACTGCCAGAGATAGCAGTATTTATTTGGTACAGTAATTATGGTGGTCCAAATATTGCAACTTTCCCAGTTAAACTGTATGAAATCCATAGTACGTGAATAAAAAGCAAATGAGAAAGAAAATGTACATTTGAAATCACAAGATTACTTAAGTTTCTTTAACTAATGATTGCACTTTGGATATTAATGGAATTCTTCACACTATCAGATTGAATAACTTTTTTGACTAGACACCTTGAGTAGATTATTATTATTCTCTTTCAAGCAAAGATCTTTAAAAAAAACATAGCATTTGGAAGATGGAATGACATTATTGGTTTCCCTTTTTTTTGTACTTTTTAAAAAAAACTACCAAGTAATCCTTAAGTTAAGTCCAATTAATTTTAATCGATTGATGATGCTGAGACTCACATTAAAATTAGCTAGAATTATTTCCAGCCATGACAGATTTAACAAGGGGCCATTGATGGTGAGATTTTTTACTTAAAATGAGATCAATGGATTATGGATAGCCAGGAGAGATTGAGGCTTTAATCAAAATCTTCAGGTGGCAACATTACCTACAGTAGCAGCCATCAAATCTCTTGGTAATATTTCCTGATCTGAAATCCTTTTGCATATTTTTTAAAAAAACATTCATTGGAGTAGGTTGGGAAGTTTGATTGAGTTTGGTTAGTCGCTAATTGCACTGAAAGATGTCCCGCTGGAACCGAACAGCTAAGACACTCTGTAATTATTGAGCAATCATGTCCTCACTTGAGGATTAATGTTTGTGATGCAATCATTAAGTTTGAGTGACAATCTGCAGTTCTTTATTAGAAATCAAGTCCCTATTTATACTAGGATAGAAATGCTAATTTTATAAACCACACATAGCTTCAACTACAACGGGTCAGACATGCAATTTGAAAGAGATGAGGAGAATGTGATATCTTCATTTACTCTATAAATTGAAAAGCTGCTTTATTTAATAGATGAGAAAGGCAGTTTAATTATTTTGGTACGGTCTTACTGGAATGGCTAACTAGGAGACTAGTAGTTGCATATAGAGCACTACATTCAATTCACTTTACAGTATACTCTGAAGCGCTTTGAGACGTCTCGAAGATGGGATATGGCTCTATATCAAAATGCAAGGATTATTATTACACACAGGACTGTATTGAAACCGTTTAACTCAGAGTAGATGAAGGTGGTCAATGTTAACAAACTTTATAATTAGGCTTGTTTGGATTCAATAAAAAAAATCAAACATCGATAGTCACTGTTATTAGTGATGTTCCGCAAACGGAACAAATACATTTTCATTGATACAAGTTCTAATATTTATATCATTGGAATTGAGAGAAAAATGAATTGAAATATAGCTGGTGCATTAGAAACGGCATGTAATAGGGTCAAAGATCAACAAAGAAGACTGTCCTAAAAACAGTAGTGACAAACAGGTGTCTGAAACACTTGCTTTTTTGAGGCATCTGCAGAGACCCAGGTGCCTGCGACAAGTGTTGATTTCTCAGTTTTATATCCTCCAATTGTGAAAACAGTTGTCGAAATAAATCTGTAAAAGTGTTTGAAAATGATCGACCAAATTCAGGAAAAAAAAGATTTCCACCAATCCTTTTTATAATACAGATGGAGTTAGTGGGGATGGATTTATTCCATCTCCCACACAAGTTACAGTGAAACAGTAAAGCTTTGCTTTTCAAATCATGTAACTTGAATTAAAGTTCTATTGAATCCCCAAAGTGCAAATGTCCTGTCCAAGCTGGATTATTTTGGGAATGAGGGGCAACTGGCTAGAGAAGTACAACCACCAATCTTTCTTTTCACTTCCCCTCCCCCAAACCAGATACTTGAGAATAGTGTAAATAGTAGGCTCCAAATTAGGAGAGGGGAAAGGAAGGAGTACATATAGAGGAAAACTGCCATACAGAATATCTGTGTATTCTCACCATTACCGTGGATATTAAGGGTGCAGTTTAGAGTTCAGGCCCTTGACCAACTGTAAAATTGCCATTTCTTTTCAACCTCAACCATGCTCAATTAAATCAACAGGATACTGTACAAACCTAATCTCCCAAGACTTACTATTATGCTCCAGTGACTCAACACTCCTAAGAACAGACTCAGCTGGAATTCTGCATTAATGTGTTTCAACTATTCACTTATGGTATCTGTGCTATTACATTTGGGAATTTAAGAGTTTATTTAGGTCATTCAGTAAACATAATAATCTTGTGTAGTTCACAACGGAAGGTGAAGATGAAAACTTACTCTAAGGATTCTTGCTACCTATCTGTTGCTTTTACAAAATCTATTTTTAGCTCAATGGTTTTTTTTTAATTAAACTTCAGTTGAAAGCCCCAGTTAAGGTTTTGAATCTTTCTAACAATTGCAGCCTACTTTATGGAAAAAAATTAAATTTTTCCTTAAAAATATGATCCTTAAATGATTTAGTGAAAGTAACAGTTTTGATGGAATTACAGAACATGGTACAGAATAGATTGGCAACAACAAAGTTCTTGAGGTAGAGGAAGGTTGAACTGAGATGGTATTTCCCTGGAAAATACCTAATTTATTCTACGCAATAATAATCCTTACATTTGATATAACGATTTTCAAATCAGAAGGATGTCTCAAAGCACGCCAGAGGATTTACTGTAAAGTGCATTAACTATTTTGTAGGTGTAGGATTTAATGAGGTTTCATTTTCCTCCATCAACACAACACTCCCAGCTGAGAACAGACAAGTATCCCAATACATAAGACCAAGTGTATTTAAGTCACAATATACAGTCTTTTAAAACACTCATATTGGGCATAATAATTTCAGTGGAATGCAAACCTGATTGATTGACTGATTACACGTGATGCAATTTTCAGTATTTGTAAAAGAAAACCTTTAAAATATCTCTCCATTTAGATGTAAAGGATCATAAAGATATTCAACTGTCAAGTCACTCTCAAGATAATATAAAATAATTCTTGCATTTGATACAGTACCTTATCACATTGTTGAGACGTCTCAAAGCCCTTCACAGGATTTTACTCCAAAGTGTAGTGACTGTATATTTTGTCAGTGAACACAGTAGCTGATTTGCGCACAGCAATATTCCACAAATAGCCATAAAATTAATGACCAATTTTAAGCGCTCCAAGATGCTACCCCACGTGATGGGTTCTATACAAATACAAGTTGTTGTTGAGGGATGCCCCTTGCTTATGTAATCTTAGAGAATGCAACAACAAAATAATATTTGTACTCTAATACAGTCGAGTATTAGGCTAAAGTTGAGCCTAGAGTGTGCATTGCAGTACTGCTGGAATTTAAGCAGTTAAAACTGTTCAGCTTGCTATCGAGTCCTGTAGCTTAGTGGTTAGAGCTCTCACCTTGCAAGCAAGAGGACCTAGGTTTGATTTCCGGCAAGACGAAATACTGGGCAAGTTTCCTTACTCCACACGCCTTTGTTTATCTAGCAGTAAGTAGGAACCCGGCTGTTAGTCGAATGGCGGAACGCTTTTCCGGGTATAATAACTCCTCCCAAAAAATAATAATCAATAAATTTTTAAAAATCCATGATTTTTGTGTGACACTGCTGTGCGTAAATGGCTGTACGATTTACCCACAAAACAGTCAATTCACTTTACAGTATATTCTGTGAAGTGCTTTGAGACGTCTCGAAGACTTGATAAGGTACGACAACAAAATTACATTTGTATAGCACCTTTCATATCGGGAGGAAGTCCCAAGGCGCTGGACAATCAGTGTTTCGAACCTGGGGGTTGGGATCGGGGAGGTAGAGGGCAGGGGTAGGGAAGGAGAGTGACTGAAGGCACGGTCAAAGAGGAGGGTCTTGAAGGAGGTAAAGGAAGAGGCAAGGCGGATGAACTGCGGGATGGAGTTCCAGAGGGTGGGGGCAGAATGGCTGAAGGCCCGTCCATCAGTGGTGGGGTGGGCGAGGCAGGGGACGTGAAGGAGGTGGGAACCCGCTGACCGGAGAGAGCGGGCAGGTTGGTAGAGGGTTAAAAGGTTACCTGCCCGTACCCTCCGTTCCTCTGGCTCCGGTCTGCTCCACATCCCCTGCCTCAACCGCCCTACCATCAGTGGCCGGGCCTTCAGCCTCTCAGCCCCTAGGCTCTGGAACTCTATGCCCCAGTGCCTTCGCCGCCTCCTCCCTTTCTTCCTTCAAGGCCGGTCTCAAGACCTTTCCCTTTGACCGTGCCTTCAGCTCCCCTCTCGACTCTCTACCCCCTCCTCGCTCCCTCCCTTCCCTCCCCTCACCCTGACCATTTCCCCCCGATGCTCGGGTCCTGACCCAACTGTCCAGCACCTTGGGACGTCCTCCTGACGTGAAAGGTGCTCTATAAATGGAATCTTGTTGTTGTTGTTATAGTGGTAGGGAGGAACAAGGCCATGGGAGGCTCTGAAGGTGAGGACCAGGATCTTGAATTGTATCCTCTGTGTGATGGGAAGCCAGTGGAGTCGGGGGAGGATGGGAGTGATAGGGTCGCGGAGTCTGGTGCAGGAGAGGACACGGGCTGCAGAGTTCCGGATGATCTGCAGCCTATGGAAGGAGGAGTTGGGGAGGCCGACAAGCAGGGAGTTTGCGTAGTCAAGCCTGGATGTTATGAATGCATGTGTGAGGGTCCCGGCGGCCTGCGGTGTGAGACAGTGGTGGAGCCGGGCGATGTTGCAGAGTCGGGGAAGGCAGAGCGGGTCATGGCACGGATGTGGGGTAGAAAAGATAGTTGAGGGTCAAACAAGAAACGAAGGTTCCGGACTGG